ACACACACACACACACACACACACACACACACACACACACACACACATCAGGTCATGGGCAGTTCAGGAAGTTTTGTTACTGCAGCAAGCTTCCGCCCAGTCTCCCTGACATGCCCCTTCACAGAGCCAGTGATGGTTCTACTCACTTGCTCTGATTCTGAGGTCACTGAGGTCAAGTGAGCTTTCTTGGAAATGCAGAACTGCTCAGCGCTGTACCAGGTCTTTAGGGAGCGTGAAAAGTAATAAAAGTTCCCCTCGAAGTACTTCCAGCCTCGAGACACCATCTCCAGAATGTCACCTGGAAAACAGGGCTGAGGTGACCGCGGTGCTCCTCCGTCTGCTCTGTCCCGCCTGGAGATGGGGTATTCAATGGGGAACAGCCCATATTCACTGCTGATCCTGGGGACAGCGGTGAATGGGTCCGGGCTCTAGGGTCCTTGAGTTTCCAATATCAGGAGTTGGGAACACTCTATTGGGACCTTAAAATTCTGAGACTTGTGGATAGAGTCTCTGGAGCTAGAAAGGTACAATGGCAGGGAGGGGAATCTCTAAGAGGAAAACAAAGGGCCATCACCCCTGGGCCCTGGCTCACAGTAGTGAACTTCGTGAGCACAGGCCAGGGACAGGCCAGGTGCGACATATATTTTATTGGTAAAATGTCACTATGTGAGCTCAGTGAGAAGCTGGCCCTTTGTCTGGCCCTTGACTCTGTGACAGGCAGAGAAAAGAACAGCTCAAGATAAAAACACTGTGTCCTTGAGAACAACTAGAAGCCAAACCATTTCCAACAAAGTTTACTACTATTTATCCCGTGATATAAAGGCGCCTGCCATGGGAAAGGGGAGCTGGGAGCTCAGACACGGGGAGAAAGCTCAACTTGGAACTCCAGCTGACTGCCTCAACTTCCCCAGTCAGTTTCTGCCGATGCTTGCAAGCTCCCAGTTTGATGATGTCACCTCCAGCTGTGGTTGTTCTTTTACTTGAAAGCCTTACCCTAGGGGACCCTCTGCTCCTCAGGGCTCTCTATCAGAAAATCCAGCTGAGGGCTCAGTGGGACTTCACTAGTTGATTTCCACTGAGGTTTTGAGTTTTGCAATATCAAGCTATCACCTACGTATCTGCCTGTGTATCACCTACCCATCTATCATTTGTTATTCATTCTTTTATTTTTAGTTCACTATATACTTAATAAACTCACTCACTCAAAAAAGTATAGCTATTTTCCGGACTACACAGAGGGCCAGGACAGACTCCTAATGCATCTACACTCTACACCTTAGTGTAGAGACCCAAGCTAGGCCTGTGTCTTCTTTCCTCACAGCCATCAGATCTCAGACCAATAGTTAAGGCCTTCCTTGTTAACTTTCCAGCCCACCCTCTTCCATGTTCCCTGCCCTCGAACAAGCCAGCTGGCCTCCTGTCTGAGGCAGGCAGGGGCTTGTGGCCTCCGGCCAGCCTGCAGGACGATCTCATTTACTTACTCTGTCTTTTGAGCAGCTTGTTGACATTCTCCAAGCTGTTCTGTAGTCCTCGGACCTTTGCATTCAAGGTGCTGGCTTTATCCAGATCTCTTTGCAGCTCTGGGATTTTTGCATTGAGATTATCAACCTCTCCCCAGCTTCTTGTCAATACCCCGATCTCGGCATGGGCTAACTCCATGCTGGTTTCCAAAGCCAGGATCTGAGAGTGCACTTGGCTGAGGCTGGTGTTCACCATCCTCATCTGAATTTCAGCCTCCTCCACACGGCCTCTGACCTTCACAAGATCAGAACCCAGGGTGCTGATATTGTCCACACGACCTCTCAACATCTGAGCGTCACTCTTCACATCCAATATTTTGTCCATCAACCTGGGATCTAGATTTGAGAAAGTCAGGTCAGCTGAGGGGTTTCTAAGCTGCAGGATCAAGCTTCCCAAAGGACCAAGGCAGTCCAAGGAGCTGCCACCAACCCTCCACTCATTCATTAGTACACAGCAAGTGTGCATCAGGTACCACCATGTGTCAGGAATGCTGGCTGGCACAGGCAGGGAGGAGACCAAGAGCCTTCATGAAGAAGCGAAGGGAGAGCCCAGCCCTGAAACTACTTAGTGTGGTCCGGGTGAAGCTGGTAAAGGGGCACCCTTAGCACACTCTCATCACTCCATCCCTGGGTCCCCCTTGAGTCAATGAGTTACTCCCCAGCCATCTCCTGTCACAGACACGGTCACACTCCTCCCTTGTTACCCACAGGCTGCTCTATGGCCATGAGGGAGGCCGTATCCATGCAGACTCCAGAACACACGGGAGAGGCATTCAGCTCTTTCTGCCCTTCCTGGACCCCATCTTTCATACTCTACTAAGATCATAGGCTAAACTAATTAATAACTATCAAAAGAGTCCTCTGGGACTGAAGGTGACTCAGCAGGAAGAACACTTATTCTTGCAGAAAACCTGGGTTTAATTCCCAGCACAATATGGCAGTTCATAACAATCATACCTTCAGTTCTAGGGAGATTCAGTTCTAGGGATCTCTTCTCTCTCCAGGCACCGGGACATGTGGTGTGCAAACATGCAAGCAAAGCACTCTCAAACATAAATAAAATTAAATAAGAAAAGCAAAGGCAGGCAGATCTCTGCAAGTTTCAGTCCAGCCTGGTCTACAAAGTGAGTCCAGGACAGCCAAGGCTACACAGAGAAACCCTGTTTCAGGAAGAAAAAAGAGGGAGAGAAAGTCCTATGAAATAGGAAATACTAGAAGCCAGGAAGAGCAGGACATGGTGGCACACACCTTTAATTCAGCTCTCAGGAGGCAGAGGCAGGTGGACCAGCCAGGACTATATAGTGGGAACTTGTCTCAAACAAAAAGAGGGAGATGGGAGAGAAGAGAAGAGAAGAGAAGAGAAGAGAAGAGAAGAGAAGAGAAGAGAAGAGAAGAGAAGAGAAGAGACAAGAGAAGAGACAAGACTAGAGGGTCTAGGTAAGGTCAAGGCCAGTGACGTCCTGGAAGAGTGTGGCTGTCAAGCTGATACCACACATATAGGCCATGAAAAGAGAAGGTATTCCTCCCTATACTTTCAAGAGACTTGGCAGAAGGAAGACAGGTATGACTACAGCAGAGGCCAAGAAGCTTCTAAAAGAGGCTTCAGATATGGACATATTCTTTGCCTGGACAAGAGAGTGCAGAGACTGTCTGGGAGGTCTGCTGACTTGGCTCTCTATGTGCTCAGTGGAGAACCTAATCGCTAGTAGAGCCAGGAGATGTCATGCTCGCTGTTGGGAGCTATTCACAAGGCTTTTACTCCAAGGGTCTCAGAGCTGTGAGTGACAGGAGGCTAAAGGAGGGCAAAGGCAGAGATAAAAGCCTGGTGGCTGTTTCCTCAAGACTGAAGAGTACCCCAGAGAAGAGACATTTTCTAATGCCAGTTTAAAAATCCCCCCAGAACCCAGGATGGAAGAGACAGAAGGCCAGCTTCCAGAAACATCGGGAAACTTCCTGAAACATCATAGACCAGAGAAACCAAATACTGCAGCAAAAAAAAAAAAAAAAAAAAAAAATTAGCTCTCCAGGGACCTGGTGACTTACAGAAAACAGCCTGAAACACAATGGAGGCGAGCAGCATCAACAACAGACAGATGAAGGCCGCTGGGATGCAGAGAGGTCTCCTTAGGACTGGAGACAGATCCGGCTTGGGAGGAGGCTCTGGAAGGAGACAAGGAGGCCTGTTAGGGATCAGTGGAGAGTGAGGTCGGGTGTGAGCACCAGGTGGGCATGGAGCAACAGCTGGAGCTTGCCTCGAGGCCAGAGGGAGATGTTCTGCTTGTCCACCGTGAAGTGTGCATCGGGAACCTCCCTCTCCTTCATCTCCAACTCCGGCATAGGAGCTTCTTGATGCCTCTCTCCACATAGGCCTTTTATCCAGAAAGAAATAGGAAATGAGTCACAGAGCAGGTCACTGTGCCATGCCCAAGTTCCCTGTTCTTGGCTTAGACACTTTGCCTGGCCGAGACCACAGATTTGTCCCCTCTTCAAAGATCTGGGCTTTTAGGAGGAAGCCACCTGACTTCTTCCCCATGATACAGACATTTTAATCATCTTATCCAAAGGTTCCATTTCTCTTGTAATAGAACTCTATCATCCATCCATCTATCATCCACCCACCCACCCTACAAACGTACACTGAGTGCCTTCTAAGAGCTCAACCCAGGACTCTAGAGATGAACTACTCAGTCTTCTCGCTCAGCAGCTTGCAACCTTTCAGGAAGAGCAGCCTGAGCAAGTAAGTTAGCATACATGGTGGAGAACATGGCAGGGAGTACACACGGTCAAAGGACACACAGGGAATGGAGTGGTGGGGTGCTGACTGAGGGGTGGGCACTCTGGGGGTGGGAG